ATAATAATAATAATAATAATAATAATAGTAATAATAATAATAATATTACAAAGTTTTAGACATGAACAAACTTTTACGTGCTCGTCCGATGTGGATGATTCTACCGATACTGTATCTGTAGTTTCCGATGCAAACAGCTAAAAATTTATTTTATTCTTTAATATAGAATTTTTTGCAATTAAAATACAATTAAAATAATCGTGCGTAATTAATACTTGTATATGTTTGAAGTGTAAACTGTCAAATACACAAATTACAAAGATTAACTGTTTTACTATCATTTGGTCTAAAAATATCTGAATTAAAATTGTTAAAACTTAATAACATTATTTTCTCATAACAGTTCTTATAATTGAATCAATTGATATTTTCATACATTTTGCTCAAGTAATTCCTGTTGTTTCTTTGATACCATCGGTGGTTTCTGTAAATGTATTGAATAAAAAATTCTACGAAATAAAGAAGTTTGATTTTTCCACAATTGATGATACAATAGTTTATTGATTTAATAAAATTATTCGGATATTAATCAAAGTTTTAAAGATAGAAATTAAAAATTCAAAAATTCTGGAATGTTTTATGGTAAGTTCTTGGCAAATTTAGATATACTTACTAGTTTTTTAAACTTTCTTAGGTTTGACGGTGGATAATTTTCCGCAAAACTGTCATTTTTACTTTTGCTCTAAATAGATCAAATGCAATTATATCAAATGAAGTAAAGACTAAAGACAAAATTTTTTTCGATTCAAATATTAAAATTATTTAGTAAATTTCTGTAACAAATATTCGTGTAAAGTTTTAAATAATCAAAAATTAGCAACTATTTATGATTACAGATGAAGTTGATTTGGTGCTGGTACTAATCGTTCCTTTATCAACGCTTCTTGATAAGGAGGAATCTGCTGTTGATCGTATCGTACTACTTGATTGCCAACTACTTAGACTGAGAGAAAAAAATTGAAGTGATTGAATTATCACTGCCAAGCATGAAACTATCGAAGCTTTAGTTAAATTTTTCACTTTCTAAATAGTACTAAAAATGTTTGGGTAATTAATATGTAACAAACGATGGTAAATCCGATGGCGGGGAATATTCCTTCATTCTGGCTGTCCGTATAATCGAATCCTTTAAAAAATAAGTTAAAAATATTTTGTTCAAAAATTTACTAAAACTTGTCAATATATTATTATATATTATAAGAATAAACTGGAAAAATAAAAAATTTAAAAAATAATTGCATAAGTCAATTTCAAAAGTTATTCAATCCATTTCTTTGTAACAAAACTTTTAAAAAATAAAACAGACTTTAATTAGAATTATATTACTTTCTCAACACAGAGGTTGATCAAAGTTGTAATATAAGATCTTTGAGATTTAACACAAAAATTACCGAATTGTTTTAAGCTAATCAAAAATTAACTCTGACAATATTATATTTTATATTAGTAAATATAGCTTAATGAACTATGGAAATAAGTAAGTAAAAAATAAATGTGTAACTTTTGCAACAACTTATTGGATTAAGCAGATAAATAATCAAAGATATGGTAAGACTATAATTTGTGCTTCTTTGAATCAGCTGATTAACAACTTGAATGGGCTAAATTCTGGATATAATTCGTTTACTTCTGATAGCATTGGTGATTTTCGATCCGTCAGTGAAAGAGCAGTGGCAGTAGTCAAGAATGAGCTACTCGAGTCAAGGAATCTCGATTTTTTCCTCAAAAAGTATTTAAAGATTTTTGTGATTCCTTGATCTTCTCTGCTAATAATCAAAAAGGATCTTTGAAATATTATTTAACTCGTCTATTGATCGTAATACTAATCATTCAAATCAAAAATTGCAAGTGAATTATCACAAAAACGAAAGATTAAACATTGGTGAAATCTCGATGTTTAATTTTTCGTCTGAAAAGCAATATTAATGAATCACAAAAAATTAGAATTGAAAAATTTTGGATATTTTAAGCGTCTTTTTTCACGTACACAAGGGTCAGTTTTTGCAGAAAGTTGTTAATTTAATTGGAACTGTTAAAAAGAAAGCCACATTTGACACTTAGAAAATGTTTTTAATATATATTCGATGCACGTACGAGCTGGATTCCGAAGATGGTACACGTGAAGCAGTTGCAGAACGCTGTCGTTTTTCTTTCAACTCTATACGTTTTTTTGGCGTACGTTTTCTAACCTTAGCCCTTCTGCGCTTTTTCTCCTATGAATATAGCAAAATGTAATTCAAGAACGTTAAAATTGAAAAAAGAAACTTATTTTACGGTATGAACTGAAATAATAAACAGTTGATAAGGTTTCTCATAGGAATTATTATGATATTGTTATGATAATTTTAATTATGCAGATTTCTCACACAGTATATTAATTTCTAATTTACATTTCATTTTCTCTCAAATTGCCATTTCTAATGTAATTGTGATTAGTAATCAAAAACTAAACTTAAAAAAAAGTATAAAATTATATAAATTTGCTTCTCTTTCTCATTTGAAAGCAAAAAATGCTCAAATTGAGCATCAAACTCATTTCTTTTCTCAGTTATGAATGTTTCTGCCAAAATATAATGATTATTTAATTAAAAAAGTAATTTTATGGTTGTAATTTGATTAAGTTTAAAATTCATAAGCAAGTGAACAAACCGTTTCCTTCTTATAGAAGTAATAGAATAATGAAAAGCCAAGGACAGCTGTCACGCACACAGCAATAGCTATATTTGACTTGTTTTGACTTATTATGCCCATTTTCCTAATTACATTATTGTAAAAACATTTTGCTATTTGTAAAGTTTTTGATTTTTTAAATTTATTTTGTGCACTAAAATTTTTTTCGAACTTTCACTTATTTGAGGTTAGAATATTGTCGTTTTAGTTATTACTGAACATATTACTGATTTCCAAATGATTTATCCTTTTAGTGCTTACCTTACATTTTACATCAAATTCAGAAATATTCATGTTCAACAATAATTTTTTACTACAAAGTAATTTCAAAGTATGAAAGGCATTATTGAATGTTATAAAATATTCTGATTTACTAACTACAAGCTTGATTTCTTACAGATCTATCGTTAAGTAATCAATTTATACAACCTGAAATCGCCTGCATTTATTAATAATTATTTTATCCTAGCAAAGACTAACCTATACTTTTTATATAATTAATTAATTATTATTACTATAAAATCAGTTCTATTTTAAATTTAATATTTTTGTAATTATACTTTTCACAGTCGGACTGTAAGCAAAGCTAATTTTTATTACTACGTCAACAACTATTATATTCACTACATTTTATTATTATATCTGAATTAGATTAGTTTTCATCTCCTCACCTTATTATTAAAACTATATCCTCATTATAGTACATACTAGCCTATATTTATTTATTCCTACTCTTATTCGACAAGAAATCAAATAAATACTATGTAAAACAAAAGTAATTAATAACCATCAAAGCAAAAATGTACAAAATTTTGATTCAAAATGTTAGGAAAAAAATTGCATTTTTCCAAAATATTAAATAAATCAAATTTTTAATCAAAAAGTTTTTTTCTTCATTTTGACTTAGTTTTTAAGCTTTTGTTTTACTTAACAATAACAAAATTGTTACGTACTGTTACTTATTATGGAATTTGAATTCAGAAATACAAAACTCTTGTAGTGCCCACAAAATGATCAAAATTTGTATCAATTTTGGAAGATACTGCCATAAAAATCTACAATTTAGAACCACGCGTGCGTCAAACTGATCGGCAGAATCAGTTCGTTGAAAATAATATTCTATTTCATTTCAATTTATATAAGTCTCTAAGTAATTGCATAAATTGTAGATTGCTTCATTTGCATAATTTTTGCCACCAAAATTTCGTATGTAAAAAGTATAGTTTTATGAAGGTGAAAAGTTGATCAATTAGATTGTATAGTAAGAAGTAGCAGTGTTCAATTTTGATTTAATCGATAAACTTTGATTACTTTATGTATAATATTATAAGCAAATATCACTAAACTATACTTGAATACTATATTAGTAAAAAGTCCTAACCAGCTAACCTTCATTAATTTGCAAGCTTATATGCTATTTATGCTCTCAATTTCAAGCTAATATTTGCTTCAAAGGCAGTATAAATAAACTTTATACATTACATCTAAAAATTGTGACAAAAATATTATAGAAAACTTTATTTATAAAATTTACATCAAAACTCAAAATGTTCAAAATTTAGTGCCCAAAACTGTAAGTCGCGGAATAAGTACATAAGTGGTAGAAACAGTACTTTCTCTTGTTTTACTTCATAAGATTGGAAATCTTCTTTTTTTGATTACACAAATAGCAATCTCCGTAATTTAAAGGTGAGATGACTTGACCTTTCGAACTTTTTTTTGCTTGAGTGAGATTTGTCGTTAAAACTTGACGCGACCGCACAAAAATTGAGGCATGTTTTTGGTGTTTAGTTGAACTTCATCGACTTTAGATTAATTTGCATATGAACTTGCAGAGTACACTTTTTAAAAGACTTGGCTTTGTTCTGTTGTAGGTTTGTTGCCCTACTTCTTATCTGTTTACATATTGTTAGTACTGAAAGTATACCTATCAAAGAGTAATAAAATTTGTTTATTATTATTTTTTATTATGCAAAATAAAGTAATTCTTCTCTAACTTTATACAACTGCAGTGAAATTTCGATTGTTTTCGGTATGAATTATTTGAGATATAGATTTTTGCTGATCAAAAAATTGTTGAATTATGGTATGAAGGTATAATGGCAGATGTGAAGAAGTGGACCGAAGTGTTAACAGCTGCTGAATTGATTAAATCAAGGAATCCAATTGCTAATCACGTTGCAATCGATAAAGGTGACATTACCAAGTTAGAAGTCGATGCCATTGTCAACGCAGCAAACAGCTCACTTCTGGGTGGTATGTATTAATTTATTTTTGATTAAAAGTATGCGCATTTTTTGAATAGTAAATAAAGTGCTAAATAGATACGTAACAAGATAGGTATCATTTTTACACTTTTCCCACAGAATATTTCGTTTTTATGAGTTTCGTTAATGGATTAAAACGTATTAATCTTATTTACTTCTGTGAATATTTGCATTTCAATCGGAATCAGTTGTTTTGAAGGTGGTGGAGTGGATGGAGCCATTCATCGTGCAGCAGGCCGAGCCTTATATGAAGAATGCAAAAAATTGAATGGTTGTAGAGTGGGTGAAGCTAAAATAACCAAAGCATACAATCTGAAACATATAAAACGTATGCTTCCTAATAGTTCATTTTTCCTGTGTAAGTTCTTTCTTGCTTTTCTACAGCCTATATATGTAAAAGTTTTTGCAGATATTATACATACGGTAGGTCCGCAGGTTCACTCACAAGTTACCGATGAACAACGAGAACTTTTGAAGTCTTGTTACATAGAATCCTTGGAGCTTGCAGTTGCTAATAATCTGAGAACTGTTGTAAGTGTGTTTACTTAGATAACATAATAACTGAGATTTCATGGCTCAAAATAATAATAATTTTTTTAAATATATATTTTTGATTGCAGCTCACATTAAAATTTTAGGCTTTTCCCTGTATTTCGACCGGCGTTTATGGTTATCCTAATGATGATGCATGCAATGTTGTTATCAGTTCGGTTTTGACTTGGCTGGAAAGCAATAAAGATAAGGTGAAGTGTCTTTGCTAAGCTGAGTGTTTAATAACGCATAATAATAAATTTATCCGTCAAACAGCATATTTTTTTAATAAAATAATAATGTAATATATATTTATTTGTAGATGGACAAAGTAATCTTCGTCACATTTTTGGATGTAGATTACGAATTATACAAAAAATATTTAAAGGAGAAGTTGGAATGAATGTGATCAAAAGTTTTTGGTTTGTCTGTTTTTGTTTATTTTCATTTTCGGAAAGGACACAATTTCCAGTATTGAATTTGTTAAGAACTAAACAATATATTTTTTACTAACAGTAGTAAATTTTGCGCACTCAATTACGTAATGTATTATAGTATAAATTACTAGTATTTCATTCAGATTTAATAATACATACACGTGAATTATTCAGAGTCACAGTATAACATGAAATTTTAAATTATTAATCAAAGAAATCAGTTACGCAAGAATATATTTAACACTGGAATTTTTCTGCAGCAACGCATTCATAGCAAATCTTCATTTTGTTTTAAAAATCTGATTAGCTCTTCATTATAAATATGGCCAGTTTATTTTTTCTTTTAGTTTTTTAGCTTGTATTCTGCCATATTTACACCAAAATTTTATATTTTATCTTGTCTTATGCTAGTTGTATTTTATTTATATGTTATGTTATTATTGGTTGAAGTGGTAAAAAGCTTATTAAATACTTTTAAATTGTCTCATACAAGTTGTATTTTATTTATATGTTATGTTATTATTGGTTAAAATAGTAAAATTTTCGACAAAGTTTTTTGCTGTACTTACAGTCTGTAAATACTGATGAGATAACTTCACATTTTCATTTCTCGGAAACATTTGCATGCACATAGGTGGACAACCTATGTGCATGCAAATGTTGTATTTGAAGAATGGCATTATTTACCACAGCGGAACAAATTGTGAATCTGAATGTTGGTGGACATCGGTTTGCTACTACACGACATACTTTAACATGGATACCAGATACCTTTTTTACGAGGTTTGTACGGAATTTTCACCAATTTGAAAGAATAATCTTTGAGTGAATCAAGTTTTTTGGATTTATACAAAATTTTTTTGAAAAGACACGGTCTGTAATATTTTTTTAGCTAATCAGACAGTTATTGAATTTTTTAGTTTATTAAGTGGAAGAATCCCTACTGTTCGTGATGAAACAGGCGCGGTATGTTTCTTCTATTTTCTTTCATCTATATCTTGTTATGAGTCTAAGTTTGCAGTGACTATTAAAATTCCCTAAATACTTCGTACTGATTCAGACATATGTTGGCGATTTCAGTAAGGAAGGATTCTGTTTGCTTTCATATATTTTTTCTACATTTCCATCATTTCTTGGTCACATCTTAGGTAGTTTATAACTTATCAATTTAAGGTTTTCATTGATCGAGATCCAGAAATTTTTCGGATAATTTTGAATTATTTGCGAACGAAACAAATTGATTTAAGGTGTGTTTTGATATTATTGGCCTGAATATCCTAATAGGAGTATAACTCCTGTCGTAATTTTCTATGCGTCTTCAGTATCTTCTTTAGTTGTGTTCACTTTGTAGTGGAGTGAGCTTAGTGAACTTGAAACATGAAGCGCAGTATTATGGCCTTGGCCCTCTTGTGAAACGATTAACTTTGTGTGAAGAATTAGATGAATGCGGTTGTGGTGATGTTCTTTTTAATGCTCTGTTACCTCCTCCTACATTGCCCTTAAACGAAAGTAAGTTTTGGAATAAAAGAACTTATTTTGAAAACAGTGGATAATTTTATACTTATTTAGTAAAACTAGAGCCATTCAGTTTATTAAAATACCTTACGAAATATCCTGAAATATTTTTAAAAAAATTGATTTTTCAAGCTACTCAAAAAAGATGAGTGAAGAAACTAACTTATTTCTGTAGATCATAAAACTTCCTCATCTACTCCAAATAGCTATCATCCATCAAATTCATCACATGACTTAATGTCAGTCCCTTTCCCTTCACTTCATTTTCAATATCCAAGCGAATCTATTGTACCTGCAAATGAAGGAGGATCAAATAATTCGGTTTCGAAAGCATTACAGCAACCACGATTGCTGCCGAGCATGGAAGCTAAATTTCAGGCAAGATTGCGAGTTTGTTTTTATTAGAAATAAACTCATCATCTGTGATTTGAAGTCATTCCAACATAAATTCACGTGCAAGTAATTTTTTCGTATCACAGATTATTTAAATTAAAAAATATGACAGTACATTCAATTTTTCTACCACCATATTAGTATTCTAGCCTGCTGCTAGTTACAGGTACCACAAGCAGTGGAAGCTTTAGTTGAAAAAACTATAAAAGGCACTTCACATTCGTCAACGAGGACATTTCTTGAAAATCATACTTCATATAATGAAGAAGGTAAACTCAAAATGTATATTGTCTCTCTTTAAACATTTTATTTATATATTCAAAATTTACAGTGAATATGGAAGGATCAGAGGTAGCAAATCTACCAGTACAAAGTGGTAGTATCATGTCTGGAAATGTCTTACGGGTAACTGCATCAGATATACAGACATGTAGCGCAGATGTTATCGTATGTCTTTGTTTAAGTTCATTTAGTTCATTGTCAAATCGCAAAAAATTGCTTTAAGGCATTTATGTAACATAAAGTATTTAATTACACTCCTTTTTTGGTCTGGACTGCAGTTCTATTGCAACGTAGAATATTTTTTAAAATATAACCACTTCAGAGCGGGTGCAATATTCACGGCTTGCCTTCCAGAAATTATCAGAATCCCATGAAAAAAACTTGCTTTGAGTTAACCCGACAGGTAATGATCTGAAATATCATGAACTGTTGCGCAAGATGTCATTAATATGACTCTTAACTCTTAACACTAGACAGTTTCACGCTTAGCGATAATCTCAAATTATTTGTTATCGTCTCATGAGAGGTTGTTGATTTCACTATTATGATAATGTTAATTAACATTTTCTTAGCTCAAAAGCGAACTTTCATTGTTGATGCGCTATTCTGCCCGCATGTCTGATCAGTTATCAGGACCTTTACGTGTTCGTGTTATTCGAGCACACAATAATTCAATTGCTGTTGGATATGCGAATTTTGTTTGCTGTTACAGGTCAACACACGGGATGTGTATTTATTATGTTCATTATCATCTTTCTTTTTTCTGTACGTAGTTCTCGCTTTAAATAACTGGAAAATTGTAAGATTGGACGACTAACTTACTTTTCATGCTTACGAACGTGAATAGTTTGTATAGAGATGTTAGGATGCAGTTTATCCTACTTCAACTTTTTCAAAAATTCTTCAGCAAATTTTAATATTTTCTCTTTACAGAATGAAGGAAAGTTTGGGTTGGCAGCAACTATACATGTCGCCACGTATGGATGCACTTGTTCGTCATGTGGCACTGTATGCAAAGTTTGGAGAAAAAATGCTGGCCGTTGCACTATCAAATAATGAGATACATTTGTGGAACATCTCAGAAGATGATGTTAATTTTGGAGCCAAAATTGGTATTTTTTAAGGATATTTTAGGGTATTTACTGTAGATTAACTTGGTATCATGTTCTGAATACAATATTTAGATTTCAAATTTCTTTTGAACAGAAATGATACATTTTCAATTTTTATCTCAATAACGTAGACGTACTTTGAAAAGTTCTGCAACAGTTATGCAAACTTTTTGTTTCAGGAATGTTCACTCTGTTGGTTGCTGTCGACAAGCTATTTTTCATTGGGAGCCAGTTAGTGGCACTAAGCAAAATTGGTAAAGTAGGGATCTGGCATTCAATGACTCACAATTGGCAAGTTCAAGGTTCGCGAAAATTGTAATTTTGTAGATATGTATAATATTATATAAATTGAAAATCTACAGATGTGGTATCAATATCGTGTTATGATACAGCAGGATCATTTCTGCTCCTTGGTTGCACTAATGGGTCCATTTATTACATCGATATGCAAAAATTTCCATTGCGAATGAAAGATAATGATTTGCTCATCACAGAGCTTTATCGAGACCCAAAGGCTGACGTCATTACCGCCATAAGTGTCTATTTGACTCCAAAAACAAGTGGGTTTTTGAGAAATTTTAATTGTTTTTAAGGGCATGTAATTATAGCAGTGATTCTCATTTAGAATATTTTTAATCAGGTTTTTAGACCTTCGAGGAAACTGGATCGAAATTGCTTATGGAACTTCAAGTGGTAGTGTAAGAGTAATTGTGCAGCATCCAGAAACTGTTGGGCACGGCCCACAGCTCTTCCAGACTTACACTGTACATACATCACCGGTCACACGAGTTGCCTTAACAGCTAATCATCTCATTAGCGGTTAGATTTAAGTTAAAAGAAATAAGATTTTTGTAAAGTTGCTTGAGCATAAAATTTTTCATTTTGACATGATTGATAAACCTAATTAATTGCAGTTTTCCAGTTTAATTTTGAAATCAATTAAGAGGCTTTCTTCATAACATAACTGCATTTATTGAAGTATGTGGTGAGTATAATCATGTACGGTCTTGGGGCGTGACGCGTTTTCGAGGCATGATTTCGACTCAACCTGGTAGTACATCATTAGCATCTTTCAAAGTTCTAACACTAGACAGTACTGACGAGATGCTTGATGCGGATGGAAATGATCCAGGTACTTATTTCATCAGTTCACTTTGTTTTACTCATTAAAGCATATTTTATAGTAGATTTTGCTTGTGATAATAAATAAATACAAACAAATAAATAAATAAACATATATATATATATATATATATATATATATATATATATATATAT